TACTAAAAATACAAAAATTAGCCAGGCGTGGTGGCGGGCGCCTGTAGTCCCAGCTACTGGAGAGGCTGAGGCAGGAGCATGGCGTGAACCCCGGAGGCGGAGCTTGCAGTGAGCCGAGATCTGGCCACTGCACTGCAGGCTGGGCGACAGAGCCAGACTCGGGAGGGAAAAAAAAAAAAAAAAAACAATACCCCACCATTATAAATAAAATAAGAAAATAGGTACAGACATTTCATTGAATATAATACATGAATGACAAATAAGCACACGAAATGAGGCTCGATATTATTAGCCAATAGGTAAATGCAAATTTAAAATACAATGAGATGTTGCTATATACCTATCAGAATGGCCAAAATATAGTGACAACCAAATTCTGTCAAGGATGCAGAGAAAATGGATTAGAGGTTGCCAGGAGTTAAGGAGAGCCTGGGAACTGGAGTGAAGTGGTTGTGGTTATAAAAGGCCAACACAGGGAATCCTTATGTGATGGAACTCTTTTGTAACTTGACTGTATCAATGTCAATATTCTGATTAGGAAGTTTTCATGTAGTTATTACAAAATGTTATATTTGCAAAATGTTATATATATTGTGTAAATGTTATGACACAATGTTATATTGTCAAGAGCTTACAAGAACTCTGTGTTATTTCTTACCACCTACATGGGACTCAACTCCCATCTCAAAATTAAGACTTTTTTTAATACCCTAAAATTATGCCTTTTTTTTTTTTTGCTGGTATAATTGGCTAACTTTATTGAATCAAGTACTAAATATGCTTCTGCAATATAATTTTATTACTAAAACTCTGGAAAGAGAAAACTTTCTTGTAAATTCACAAACAACAACAAAAATCAGGGAGTAGTCAAAATACTCATTGACTTTTGTACCTTACTAATTCCATGGCATCTGATGAATGAATAAAACTCTACCAAAGGTGTTCATTTGCCTCTGTCTTCACTTTAAAATATTTTATGTATTTATATTTTGAATACAGAATACTATAATATGATATTAAAGGGCACAGAGTAAAGAAATATATATATCTTCCTACCCTTTCTCCCTAGAATATACTGTACCATCTGTACCTCCCAATAAGTAATCAAAATCTTCAATAAATATTTTCTGTATATACTAGCATATATATATGTGTGTGTGTATACACACTTAAACACTCTCTATATATTCAAGCTAATATGTGTTTTCTCCCCACCAGCCCCCAATCTGCTTCTTTTTACACAACAATTACGATGTGCATAATTCTACCTCTTAGTTTTTCACTCAAATAAATTCTTCGAAACTTTTGATCTCAATGTAATAGCTTCATTTAGAAAAACTTCTGTATGATATTGCTTGGTATAGGTACACCACATATTTAGATCACCGCTGAGAATTTGCTACTACAATGTTCCAACAAATTACTTTGTATATCTTGCATCTCCATATCTGTAGGATAAACTTCTAGAACTGGAATAGCTTGATCAAAAGGTATGACGCTCTTATAGTTTTGATAAATATTACCAAATAGCCCTTTATAAAAATTGTGTCCATTTGCACTATCACCAGCAATGCATGAGAGTACCCTCTTTCTTCTGCCCTCTTCTGTATAACAAATAATCTCTTTGATCTTTGCCAATCTGATAGGTGAAAAAGTTCCCAAAGTATGCATTGAATATTTAAAAATAAAAATCAATTAATCTTATGTGAAAAGATACCTTAGCACATTAATCACAAGGAAATAAAGTGACCTTCAAGGCTGAACACAACTTACAACTCTGCCCTGTGTCAAGTGATACTATGCATTTAAAATTGCCCTATATCCCAGTTTATTTTTAGGGCTTGTTGTCCACAGAAAAAGAGATGATAATTACTGGTCAAAGTTAATACTTAAGCAGATAAATATATCAAAAATTATTTAGTAAAGACTGCCAGAAGAGTAGTGTTATAAGTAAGGGGGAAATAAATCTAATGATTCCTGCTGTGTAACCTTGAATGTTGTTCATGCATCCAACTATGCCTGTGGATTTTTATTAATACCATCTGCTGAGAAACCATTTCAAAATCTACTCTGCAGAGCTGCATAGGAATATACTAATATATCCTATCATGCATATGTATGTAGTAATAAAGAATTAACACATACTCTTCCACAAGCTGAGAGGTCCACTGAGAAATGAAAGAAAAGTTTTTAGGAGCTTTTGATAGCCACCAAGGTCTCTTTTGGGTCTGCCATTCTAAGTCAATGATTGAATTGCCTAGATGATATAATCCAGAGTTAAAAAGGATGCAAATATCTTACCTATCACATACACATTTTATTTTATGATAGGAGAAGCATATTTACAATTTCAACTATGATCACTGGGTAAGGTAATAACTATGAATATGGACTTTAGATTTTAGTAACTAGTCTGACTTATTTTAAATGTTTCAGTAGGTGGTAAGGAAGGCATCTCATCTGATTATTGCCATCTCTCATAACTGTTATCCAGTTTTAAGATTCTGTATTATTTCATATTTATTCAGTGATAGACTACTTATCTCCTAGAAACATATAAAAATGCTTTTATTTATTCCATTAAAATATTATATCTTGAGTTAACTATATTAGAATTATAAAATAATTTTTCAATCAAGTATATAATGTGCAATCAGAAAAAAAAAGCTTATCAACAGTAAAGTATTATCTTTCTTTAAAAATCCTATTAATTCCTGTCATCCTTAAAAAAAAAAAAAGACTGAGAAAGCTTTATTTGGAGAAAAATGGTTAATAAATTGTTTTAAATTTGTTGGGATATGTTTTACTCCAACAAATACACATGGATCATTGATGATTCCAATGAAAGGCAACAATCCACAAAAATAAAATCACCAGATTTTGATGGTCGAATATCTTGAATTTAATATGAAAGAAAAAAATACATACTGTTTTTTAGTCCAAACTGCACCATGCTGTAAGCTCCCTGCTGTTTTGCAGACCTTGGTCAAAGCGAAACATTTCACAGGGGTTCGAGCTGTGAGAAACATCCCGTCTAACCAACTGTCCACAAGGGGGACAAAGGCCCAACTAAAGAGACATCCCTATCATATCTTATTGGACAAAGGTCCAAGGAACACCCTGAACACCAGAACGACATTCCGCCGGAACAAGGGCCAGAACCGCCTCTTCATGGAAGCATCTTATCAATATCCCGCCGGGCAGCAAGCCATACTGCTCAGATCCCTTCTGCCCATACCTTTAAATTGACCCAGCCTGTAAGTGGCAGCGGGCTCTGGCATTAGCCGGGTCCCCCACTTCTGTAGGTTTTATGCTGGACAGAAAGCCTGAATTTGCTGTTGAGCCGCCTTCTTTCTGTGTGTGTGTGTGTGTGTGTGTGTGTGTGTGTCTTTCTTTAACCCTCGCCTTCCCTTCAAAACCTGACACTGTTCAAAAAAAATTTAGTCCATCATTAAGCATTTATTAAGAACGTACAAGTCAAGCCCAGTACTAGGTGCCTAAGACATAAGTAAGTCTGTATTTCAGCACTGTTCTTGCAGAAATGAGACTGGGTAGGTGAGGGGCTTGATGAGGGTTGTGTCTGCAGAGAATAATTCCTCAAAGCAAACACTTTGTTGCTGGTGTCGCGGAAAAGCAATCAGGCATTGACAGGTAGAAAATAGCTTTTACAGGATGGGCTATGAGGAGACCAAAGGCAGCATATAAAGCAAATCCTTCATTTTTCCCATACGTCTTAAGTAGTGAACTGCAAGGATGGTGCAGACTAAGATTGGGTCTACCTTTAAGATCTGGAGGGGAAAATGGCAAGACCAGAAGAAACGGTCGCAGACTCATTTGCATAAGCACCCAAACACTGCTTACGTCACTGCGCCGGAGTCCGGACCCCGCCCCGTCTTACTCCAGCCTTTCCCAGCTAGGGAGGAGGATGGAAAGGGAAAGCGGGAGGATGGAAAGGGAAAGCGGGAGGATGGAAAGGGAAAGCGGGAGGATGGAGAGCGCGAGCCTCGGGGCTTTGCTTTCCTCAAATGCATATCAAATGCTGCTTCTCAGCTCAGGGAAAATAATTCCCGCTCCCGCAGCCTGTGCCACTGGGTGGGTCATGCCGGCCCCCGAACGCCTCGGGCGTCTTGATTCATTCTTATGTATCACGCTGGTGCGCTACGTTAGAGTGCAAGATTTTCCCTGTACTCAATACCGTCTTCTTCCCAGTCACACACAGAACAGCCTAGTGAAAGAAAGGTAGAAACGATCTGGGTTTCTAACTGATTCCCATCTTCTTACAATCCCAGCAGCACCACCCTCACCGCCACACTCTCAAATTCCAGGTGCGCAGAAACACAGGAGCCGTGATTTCTCCAGCAGCCACGTGCCTTTCGCACGGCGAAAGGCCCCCTTTCGGGCCATTTATCACAGGATACCTCAAGCAAAAGGGAACTGTGGTCACGTGAAAACACTCTGTCCTCGGTAGTCGCCTTCAGCCTTTGCAAAAGCGAACGGAAGCGAACGAGGAATAAAGCTCTCTGCTCTCCCCACCCCATCGCCCACCTGCACGAGGTTTAGCTTCCAATTCACCTCGCGCCTCTCTGCCCCGACCCTCCCAACTTTCCTCTTGGACTTCCCCGTGTTGGACCCCACCCTTCAACCAACCCCGACTTGACTTGGAAACAAGTAGGTCTCTGGGGATGCTGTGGGTAATTTCCACGACGGGAAGGAAGGATGGCGGCACGTTTCAACCCATGTGCTTCCCCTTACATGTGCAGCCTGTCGCCCCCACCCTGATTGTGCAGAGGTGCAGAGTTAGAAGGTTGCCCGCCCAGCCCAGCTTCTCCCTCCCAGGGCTTTTGAGCTGCCCTCCCTCCTCCCACCCCAAGACGCAGCGAGTCCTTCCCGGCATCCGTCTGCCAATTCGCTCCCTGTGCTGGTGCCCAGGCTCCTGGGTGGCTAATGGCGAGCCCCACCTCATCCCCAGTTGTGCCCTTAGCGTAGGCGCTTGCCATTACCGTCAGTGTGTCTTGACCAAGCGCCTTTTGCTGCTTCCACGTCCCGGCAGGAGCAGCAGCCGTCGCGAAAGGGTAGGGTCCAGGTGGCTGTGACGGAGGCCGAAGAGGAGCTGTTTTCAGAGAAGCAGCTTCTTGTCTAAGATGGGACCAGGAGCTGGGTTTTGGGGGTTGCTGCCCTGCAGGCTGGCAAGGAGAGACTCGTGAGCGCCTGTGTGTCTGCCAGGGAAACAGCACGGGATACAGGCGCGCGGGTGCGGGTGCGCGTGTGCATGCGTATGTGTGTGCGCGCGCGCGTGTGTGTGTATGTGTGAGGGTGTGACGGAGGCGCCCACGTGCCCGGCCCGCCCGTGTTGCGGGCGCCTACGGGCTGCAGAGGAGAAGGGTAAGCTGTGGGCGGCGGCGGGGCGCGGAGGGGTAGCCAGGAGAGCCCGCTGAGCTCCGCACCTCCCCGCCCCAAAACCCACTGATGCAACGGCCACTGCGGCTGCCCAGCGGCGTCTTCCCAGAGCCCAGGGCTGTGCCCGCCCGATGCGGGATGCAACTGAGGAAGCCCGCTCCAAAGCAAAACAAAACAAATTCCTCCAGCCATCCCGTCTTTCTCAACCCACTCAAGCGAAAGAATGGACACCAGTTACCCGCCCCTGACTTTTGCCTCGGTGAGAATAATAATAGGCATGGTGCTACCTGGCACCATGTGAATATTCTCTAAGAGTCAGTAATGGGACTAGAAAAAAAAAAATGGGTGACCCGAAGAACCCTTTTCCCTACCTATCTCCACAAGCCGGCCATTTCCATCTCTTGCGAAAGAAAAAGCCTCTGGGCATTGGCTTCTCCGTCAGGCGGTGGCCTGATAGCGCTCAGTGATTCCCTCCAGGTTATGAAAGGCCGTTTTAGAAAGCTGGTCCTCCCTCACCTATGGTGTATTGGTGCCTCAGCAGCCGACTCTTTTCCAAGGGGTCTCATTAGAAGATGAAGCCTGACTTACCTCTGCTGACAATCAAGGCATGATCGTAATTAAGCCACGTGGAGAATTCCTAAAATATACATCTCTGAACACAAAGCTTAGCCTGCTTTTGAAAATGGCTGAACTGTCCCCTAAACAGTGCATATGCTCTAGGGATGAAATTTTCCGTCCTTGAAACATTCAAAATTTAAAAGAAATGCAAAATGAACCTAGAACGTAGGTAAAAGGTTAAGTAACTTAGCAAAGTACATTTTTCACTTCCAGATTATTAATATTACTCTTAAAAATACTTTTGTGCACTTTGAGGCCTTTTAACAATCCCTTAGATTTTTACAGTTCGCAACCAATTAAGATTGAATTAAATAAAAAAGGCCATTGCAGACAGGTTTTTCATGCAGTGAAAAATCTCTTGGAAAGAAATCACAAGACCTAAATTTCAGGTCAGAACATTGCTACTAATCCTTAGCTTTTAAAGCAGCCAAGAGAGCTTTTTCTCAGACTCTCTTCCAATCCCAACTTTGAAAAATTAAAAGTTAAGAAATTAAATTAGATTTGATTCCCTGATACCCCTCCCCTGCCATAAGTAAATAAATGCTCTTTGATAGATGCACCACAGGAAAAAATAAAAACAGTCAAAATAAACCTTTTATAGAAATTTTTTGCTTTTTACTTCACATTTTGGTGACAGGCAAATATTTAATGTTGATATATAAAGAAACTGAAATACAGTACCAACGTTATCAATAACAACTGAGAAAATTTTAAGACAATAAGGAGATCTGTGTCCACCATGATCAGGATTAGGATTATCTGTGGGAAGCAAAGTTATCCCTATGCTGGCAGAAATAGTTCACGGTAGTACCAAGAAGTACTAAAATTATTTCTCTCTCATGCGTTTTCACTTATGTCTGGTACCTAATTCCAATACATATGCATAGGTCCCAAAATATTTGTAGAGTGATGCCCTACATAATGACTGATACTAAGTTATGTCTCAATGCCAATGAAGAGAAGTAGGAGAAAGGAACTATTGTTTTAAGCTTCCCACTAAGTACCTGGGGCTTAATAATATCTTACTTAATCCTCTCAACTAATTAATGAGGTGATTTTTCCTAATTTAGAGATTAGAGAGAGGTGATACTCAAAAAAATTGCAAAAAGTCAGACAACTTGTTCAATGACAGAATGGAGAAATAAATTCAGATCTGCTGGCCTCAAACTTCATGTACGTTTATACTATTTTGTAAACCTTTAACAAATTTATATATTTTTAACAGGAGGAAAGAGTGGAATCTCAACACATGTGGTAGGCAACTTTGAAAACAATAAATAGAGGAAGAATGGAGAGACCCCAAAAGGAGAGTCTGGGAACCCCAGCCAAAGGTAAAATGTATCCATTTTTAAAATTTAACAATGAGCCTTCAGAGATTTAAAATTCAGTTGCTAATATATTTTAGGCTAATGATCACAGAGTTCTTTCTGTTTCACTATTGGGCAAAATAGCTAACATGGTATTGGTGTGGGAGGAAGAGGCAGCAGCACAGAAAGGAAAAAAAAAAACAAAAAAACAGAACTTGGAAGAATTAACTACAAGTTAAGGTAGACTAGTGCTTCTAGCCACACTGTATTTAATAATATTGACAAGATTCATTAAATGTTAATTGTGTCTTTGCAATGTACAGAATAATTTCAATATTTTATGAATATATACTTCTTAATTCTTACACCAAGCCTGTGATGTAGGTCTAGTTATTACCAAACATTGTCAAAGAAAAAACTGAAGCTTTGATTGTCCAAGGTCATACAGTCAGAAGGCATCTGTTAGATATTGTAAAAATAAAAACCTGCCCCTATCTAAATCACTTTCTGAAATTGATACCTGCTTTCAAGCAATTAACATTATACTTATTATTTTTAAAATTTGATAAAAGATCACATGAAGGAAAAGAGTATTCTCTTTGACTAGAGGAGAGAAGGAATCTGACTCACCAAGCATTTCTACCTTATTTCTTAAACCAAATCCCTTAGAATAACAATATTATGTAAAAACTTCCAAAGATGTAGCACTAGAGTTCAGAAAAATATTTAACATTTATATTATTAT